AATACGGGTGTTACTTTCCGAAAGAAACACAATACAAGGAAAAAGAAACAAACCTTGTATTTTACTGTGGTCTTCTGTAAGATGGAGTTTACTTCCCCAGACGGGCACTCCAATAGGGGTGACGACGGGGTAAATTTAACAAAATTCTAATCATTCCGTCAGATAGATTATCAAAAAATAATGGACACGTATTTTTTCTTTGGTCAATCAACCATAAAATGACAAAGGTATAGCGCATCAAAGTTTGGGAGTAACGGCTCGTGACGTCACTTTTAAGTTAAAACTGTACAAGAACGTGACGTCATGCGATATTTCTAATCAATGTATCTCTGTAATATTTTCCTGATGTGAATAAAGAAAAAATAAGAGTTTAATACTTTTTGATGGTCTACCTGATAGGAGAAGAAAAAAAATACTTTGTCGTCATCCCTATTCAAACTATGGTAATCTGCTATGCTCACGAATTACCTACAGTAAGTAGGTACATTTAATTAAAAATTCTGTTTGAGATAATCTGTATAAAAAAATAATTTCCTTGGTCACGCCATAACTTGAGAACGACTTCTCAAATTACATCCATCTTTTTTTTAAATTTGCTGATACTTTGTAGAAAGTTCTTATAGAAAAAAATTGGAGTTGTTTTATAAAACCATTACTCAAGTAAAACTGTTAACAACATTAAAAAAAGTCCTTTCTCCTAATATAGATTTATAAAAACAGCAGTTTGATGCTTAAAACAATATGATATATTGTATCTTGATTCTGCACTTCCGCAGAGTTGCGAATTCCACTTAATTGTCAATTTTTTGTTGTCAAACCATACATTTTATGTATTTTTTGTCGTACGCACATTTTTTTTTCATCCCACCACCTCGGAAAGTGTAATTTTGCGCTTCGAAATCTGGCTGGAAAATTCTATTTTATTCGCTTGAGCGGCAAAGTAGATTTGAATTTAGAACATCACATATAATGAGTACTCAATATAATTGTAAATTCAAAACGTCATTAAACCTATTTAATGTAACCTCTATGGTGCCAAATTTATGATTAGAACTTTTTAAATTGTGAAAAAATTTAAATTTGGAACCTTCTTGGTTTCTTTGTTTTATTTGCGTGCTTCGCGCCATTCTAGTTTTTCACGTTTTATTGCTTAAATATTTTGTCATTATAAATTGTTTTCTTTTTCATTTTGTCATTTCCTCGCTGAGGTGGGATGAAAAGTTACGTATTGCACTCGAGTGGAAAGATTTTTCACCTTGTGCTCGTTTGTTTCCCTCGCTGACGCTCAGGATTCTAATTTAGAATCACTCGCTGCGCTCGTGATTCAACTTTAGAATCCTTCGCTTGCTCGGTCATCCAAATCGAGCACGCGGTTAAAAAGGAACTTTCCACTCTTGTATAATAAATAACTATTGTGCTAGCTTTAGAGGGTGCGCGCCGTTAAGCGAGGCACGGATTGGACGTCCGCTCAGCGTGTTTGTTTCATAGCCCCCCTCACGCCTAGGGTTCAGTTACCATTTAGGAATTTCAAAAGTCCTGACAAAAATCCTAATATTTGGGGTAAAAGTCCGGACTTTTTAGTCACAGAATGGTACCATTACTCACTTATTTACAATGGTATGGTAATTAAATCAATATGTACTTTTAGTATTCATATTCAATGTAATTTTATAAACCCAGACAAGTTAAAGATCCGGAAAATCTCCGGACTTTAAGTAAAAGTCCGGACATGCCCGGACTATTCCAGATGGATGGTCAACCCTAAACCCACCTCGCGAGCGACGGAGCGCGGAGCAGTACCCCTAGCACGAACCATTATCAAATTCGAATAGTTTGCAAACCGAAATGTCGATGTCAAATTTTATATGGAAACTTGAACAGCAGCGGCACAAAGTACGTAACGAGAACTAAAAATCAGTACACATTTGACAATGACATTTCGGTTTGCAAACTATTCGAATTCGATAATGATTCGTGCTAGGGGTACAGGAGGCCTACTCTATTTCAACGAAAAACGAATTCTATTTCAATTCGAAAATTCGTTCGTCCGAAAATAGTTTGACATTTAAATTCTCTAAGCCTACTCTTATTCACAAAACTTTTGAACTAAAAGTTGAATTTGACAGATAATTGTTCGAAATTTTAACCTCAAATTGACGATTTTCGTTTTGGGATTTTTGTTTAAATTAAACCTAAAATTACTACTAGAGTATTTTAATTAAGGTTGCTTAGCGTGAGGAACATTGTTTAGTATGAAAAATTTACAAATAAATCATTTTTTTGTTTAATATTGTATTGCCAATACTTCAAAATGTTACACGACAAATTTAAGTTGACATACATTCGATTGCATCAACTCTACAAATTAGTCGGCTAACACTATCAAAAGAGGTTGTTTTAATGTAATCAAAATGTTGTCATAAAGTAATATTGTTTTGAAGTAAAAAAACGTTATCTATAAAATGTAGACAAAAAGAACTCACAAACATAACTCATTCCATTCGTTCACGATAATTGTCTGTGATTCCGAACTTTACGTGCGTGTTCGAAGATGAAATAGAGTAGAGTCACTGGCGAAATTTTGTTTAAAATTCGTTCGTTGCCGAAATTTCGTTTCGGAGAAAGAGAGTAGAGCTCCAGATCTCCGCGACGGACGCCCGCTCCGTGCCCCGCTTAGCGGTGCGCACGCTCATAAAGCGATGTAATCGAAACCTTCTTTGGTGTCATTGTGGTTATTCTTGTATTATGTAATTTATACGTGCAAACTTTCTTTTATACAAAAACCAAATCACTACATACGCAACTATAATTATAGATTTGCAGTTGTATTGTGTAAAACGGAAACAGTTTGAAATGAGAATCAAAATAAACCTTTTTTTTAAATTGTTTTTTTGTCAAAGCTGCTTCATAATAATAGAGGGTTTTAAATGGGGGGGATTTGTGGTAAAGGTGCTTACACAATTTCAAAGGGTAAGTATCGGAACTAAAGAAAACCTAACAGTTACATGAATATAGTAATTGAAGAATAATTATGATATTAATAACTTACTAAAAATGTTTGTGGAGTTTCCTACCACACTTATCATGCCGTAATTATCTTGAATACATACAGTACTGACAAATTACCTATTCGTAAGAGATTTCAGTTAAATATAACGAAAGCACTATGTTATTACCCTAGTCTCATCAAACATGCGTTTTCATCAGAATGAAAATTATTGTTAAAAAAAATAAAAAACTCTTTACTCTCTGGATTATTGAAAGTTCAGGTAACTAACTGCCACCAATAGTTAAACATGTATTCCGGTACATGGAGAAGCATGAGACAAAATAATTTTTGGTCACCCATTCAATGACTGCTTATTGCGAAAGTCGCTGAACTTCCAGAATAGCAGAATAAAATCACTAAACACTGCAAACAAAAGTTAAAAAAAAACTTTAAAGAAAGTAAATTTGAGATAAGTCTGCGATTTACCTTAACCACAGATATCGTTATCTCATTCACAGAGTAAACCATTTTTTGTGCTTTTTTCTCTCCAAAACCTCTCCTCGAATTATTTAACACTTTCGCAAACAATAGCAAGCATATCGCTAACCACAGAAGCCGAAATGACATTTTTTTTTAATCCTTCCGACCACCCATCTCGCTACACCTAAAACCAAACCAAAAAACCATAAACCTTATTCTCTAAGTTTCAAAGTTCAGAATTGTGAACTCCTTTCCATGAATCAGGAATTAAAGGAAAGGATACACGTGTGACTAAACAATCTTTTGATAGTTATAAATATTTGTATCAATTAGTGGGTATTCTTAACACTTTGTCGTCGTATTTCCGCAATCATTGTGATTTGACATTCGGCAACATCAAGCAGAATGTAGTAATGAAATAATCAGTGTAAGAATTGGAGTTTTTAGCTAACCGCACTGCTAAAGAAGATATGTGTATAGATATTAGGTTTGAGTACAGGTGGTCAATTTTCTTATGGTAGAGTAAACTTTGATTCTATGAGTTTATATGGGACTAGCGACCGCCCGCGACTTCGTACGCGTGGAGTTAGATATTCGTTGTTACAGAATGCGTTGAAGAAATAAAGGTTCACTGCTCGTTCCCCGTAGGGGATAGCGTGATAATATGTAGCCTATATGTTGACCCGACTTCTTAATAATATTTGTGCCAAATTTGAAGTAAATCCATGCAGTACTTTTTGAGTTTATCCCGGACATACATACAGACAAACAGCCAAACAGACAAAAATTCTGAAAACTATATTTTGGGCATCGGTATCGATTGTAGATCACACCCCAAGTAATCTTTTAAAAAAAATATTCAATGTACAGTTTTGTCTATCCTACCATTTTTATTATATATATATATATATAGATTTAATACAGGTAGGGCTTAGTGGATTTCTCGCTCGAATTGGAGCGCCGTTCTAGTAACTGGTAGTTACTTCGCTAGAACAAGTGTGGTATATCGTTGGCCAGCCTTTTAACATAGAGAACACGTATGATCACTTTTCTTAGGACCTCACTTCGAGTCAAGCTTAGAAACAGGCTAGATATTATGTCTATGCAAGCCACACATACCTAGGTGGCTTTAATACGTCCAATAACAGAACTTAAATCAAATAATATTTAAAGAATTCGCAATTAAATCTGTACTGAACAATATCCGATATGCTTATTGCGAATTGCCAAAATGTATATGTAAGTAGTCTGTTTGTTCGCATGGCACGGAGCTCTGACATCGTCAACGGAATGAGTTATAGATATTGGTTTCCCAGAATTGGTAAATCAAATCAAGGCATAGGTCAATACCAAAGGCATATGGCTTAATACGGTCATGGTTACAGAACTAGTCATTTTGATATATTATGTAGAATGCTTGCCCAAAGCCGAATATTTAGTTAAAACTTCAATTAAATTATTTTTCGTGAGATGTGACGTAGTGTCTGGTTTATCAAGAATAAGCAGCAAAACTCTGTTCAAAGTAGATTTATTAATAGAACTCCCCATCCGACAGTTTCGCAGCGTAGATGTGCAACGATCTGAACTCACAGAATTGGTTAGTGCACCAGCCGCTGTGGCCGTCCGTGCAGCGGCAGGAGTCGCACTCGTCCATGTACTTCTCACCGGGGATGCACTTGAAAAATGGGTTCTTGATCACTGCCAAAAGATTTTGGTTGGTTGGTGATTTCCTAAAGAGGTTTTCAATAGAAAATAATATTAAAAGGATTGCTACTAATTTAGTAGCAATCCTTTTAAATAACTTTTAATATGCACCTACATTGTATTTTGTGAGACCCAGATATTTCAGAGCTGTTGCAAGTGCCAAGATCACAGAGTAACTGAAATGATTGCGGGTAGGTGTCATTCACAGACATATCGGTCTCTCCTCTGACTGACTATAGGTAGAATGTGAGCAGTGGTAGGGGTATCGTACGCAATAAAAGGCTACGTCAGAGGGTAGACCGCTATGTCTGCAAATAACAATCTACCGGCAATTACTCCGTGATCATGGCACTTTCACTTCGGGTTTGGTTTGACTTTGAGTTTTAGGGAGTCTTGACAAAGTAAGATCATTAGATTATTTAGTATAGTGACTGTGAGAGTGATTATAGAAACTTTGTTGAAAGAATTTATTGATTTTGAATAGAAAAACGCGGAGTAAGTAAGGTCATTAAATTGAAACTTGAAATGTTAGGGACCAAGAGTCTGTGTAGTTTTAAGTAAAGGAAACCGGATGAGTGCCAGTCGAAGTCGCCCACCGAAGAATCCATACGAATTTGTATGTACGCAACATAAACGGCCGTATCTCGTTTTCATTTTTATTTTATTTTTAATTTGGACGTTTTATATTACATAGCTTCAAGAGACCACCTACACGCGTTACTGAGATAAAGGGTCTGTCAGACAGACGGACAGACAGACCGACGGACAGACGGACAAACGGACAGACAGACCGACGGACAGACGGACAATAGGGTGATCCTATAAGGGGTCGGTTATTTTTCTTTTGAAGTACGGATCCTATATTATAGAGTAAAGAAATATTTACCAGTGCATCTTAAACACGGGGTGCTCCTCTCGCAAAGAGCTGTGACAGTCGGCTCGCAGTACACACACGAAGGCATGGCCCTGCACGCCCCTGAGTCTTGCAGCTCGCACAGCAAGCAGTTCTTGTTGTCAGGCACCAGGGTCAAAGACGTCTCTTCTTCCCAATACTGATGGGGTGGTTTGGGCTTTACAAATTGAGACACGACATAACTGGAAAACAAGTGATGAAAAAATGTTACACACATTTTAAGGCGCCTCGTGCAGATTAGGTAAGCAATAAATACATAAACCCAAACTTCAGTTATTCTGCTCGTAGCGGCCACTGTTCGTGGTCGTGGCCGTAAGCCATATGACATTGTCTTCTTAAGTTGGTGTTGGCCGTATGACGAACTTTTTTATGCTACATCTGCAAAAGTTTTATTTAAAACAATAGATTTATTTCAAATATGTACTACAATCATATTAAATTGGCATGCTTTGTGCTAGTTAAATTTTACTGGCACACTCTGAAATGCAACCATTTCAAATTTAAAATTTCTGATGAAGAACTTTCGTCCACCTATACATTAATTCATTACACACAACAAAATGGTGAACACTTACCGTCGTACCGCTTGATTCAGTGGCTTGATCAAATAGGCTTCGTCAAGCCAAAATAACCCAGACTGGGCAGGCATTTTGGAGGGACATGCCGCTTGACGGAATGGTTTTAACTTGATCAAGCTTATTTGATTAATGCAGTCGATCAAGCGGCATGATGGTTTGTGGTCACTATAACGGTATTTGTAATTCGTGTAATATTATTATAATGCAACGAGAAACTTTAAAAGGGTAGATAGTAAGGTCATCCGGAGTACTCACGCTTGCGACCCAGGTCTGTATATTGGCGGTGATTCCTCGCCGCTGCCTCCTACTGAGCTCAGTGTTCCGGGGAGTGGTGTTCCTCTGTTGCGAGAACGGTCTAGAAGTTTACAGAAATATTAAATTGAATAGATGGACTGGTACGATGTACCTTGTTTTAGTGAGTTCTCGATATTTCGACTATTTTTCAAGTGCCGTGATCACGGAGTAAGGCAGTTTGTTCACAGCGGTCGTCACCAGAACGTCAACGAGAATTAGATCATTTATGTTTGAGTGTGGCGGATGCGTGCCCTGGTCTTCTCGACTTTCTTGTACGCTTCCGAGACCTGTGTTCCTTTCATCCCCGCTGGCAGCACCCATTAAGAACCAGCCATCGCTTCACTCAAACATATTTAGGGAACGTAACCACCTGTCTTACACGACAACCGAGTAACTCGGCTATTAAATAGATCTTAGTGACCATGAATCTTTGAATCAAACAAAAACATACTATTAAAAAGAAGGACATAGAAGATGATGTTCTAGATTATATATATATACCTATCGTTAAACTTGAAGAGATCTTAGAAGTTAAGGTCATTGCGTGACTAAAGACTTATTATCTCGAGCTCCTCCGTGCTTAGGAAGGCATGTTAAACTGCTGGAACCGGCTGCACCTACAGTCGGTAGAACCCACTAATTGACACTGGGCCCATGCTCATGAGAACAACGATAAATAAATTTTAGTTTTACATTACTACTTATGATTTTGCATGATAGTGCTGGTTGTGAGTGTATATGGGTGTGAATTTGTGAGTGTTGTGTTTGTGTTTGTGTGTGTGTGTGTGTATGTGTGTGTGTGTGTGTGTATGTGTTGTGTGTGTGTTGTGTGTGTGTGTTGTGTGTGTGTGGAGGGAGCGTGTGTGATTTTGCTAGTAAAAGGGCAAGGCCATAAAAGATAGATGGGATGATTATATTATCACATAATTCATAAGAAGAAGATCTCAATGGATGACGATGGTATTAAAATATATTACCATCTCCATAAGCGAAGACCGTTGTCAAAAAGCAGAAGAACACTAAAAATTTAGACATAGTTTTTCAAAGCGACATGCAGTAATTGGGCGATAAAATGGATTCGGAAGAGTTGCTACCAATTTCACTACAACCGACAGCGATTGCAAAATGAAAATATCGAAAGGCCATTATTCGACACAAATTGGTCGATATACCTGTGTAATCCAATTAAATGAATTGGCTCACACAAACAAACTGAAACAGTATAGTACAGATCGTTAGAGTTTTTGTTGAGCATAATAGTTTTTTTTTAAGGTTCCGTACCCAAAGGCTAAAAACGGGACCTAGTACTAAGACTCCACTGTCCGCCTGTCTGTTACCAGGCTATATCTTCTATATACGAGTATATAAAACTCAAAGGTGAGTGACTGACATAGTGATCTATCAACGCACAGCCCAAACCACTGGACGGATCGGGCTGAAATTTCGCATGCAGGTAGATGTTATGACGTTGGCATCCGCTAAGAAAAGATTTTGATCAATTCTATCCGCAAGGGAATGAAAGTTTATATGAAACTTTGTCAATTTTAAACCGATCGGGCTGAGACTTTGCATGCAGGTATAAGAAGAATCATAAATGAATGTCATTGTGTATAATACAATCCTGAGAACAAAAACTGTAGTCTACACTTCAGCTCTACACCGAAGCGAAGCGAGGGCGGGCCGCTAGTCTCACATATGATGTATTGCTATTGGCGCTATAATAACAAATACTAAAAACGGAATAAATTAGATATTTAAGTGGGGCTCCCATACAACAGATGTGATTTTTTGGAGGTTTTGCTTGATATCATAATATGTGTTTATTAGGCATTTTTGCAGACCGGCAAGGTGAAGATGGTTAGTGTGGCAGTTTATACCTGATGTACTAACTATCTTCGCGTTTGGACTTTATCACCAAAATTTAAAATCAGGTGGAGAAGAGTCATTTAACTACCTGGCTATATAAAAAAACTCCGCAATTCTTTATTGAAATTGGATGCAGAATACAACTCTTTTGAATCGGATAAAGTGTCTCATGTTATATACAGGGTGTTAAAAAAACCTGTGACAAAGACATAAACTACGCATTCTGTACACCCAAACAAGACATATTACAAAATATTAAAGGTGGGAAAAACTTGTATTTTTAAGTTAAAAAAAATCATTTTTTTTCCAGTACGCAATGTATGGCGCGGCGCTTTACTGTGGCGCTACGATGTGCCTGTGTGTGTATGACTGTACGTGTGTGAAAGTGCGTCGATAAAAAAGTTTCTAAATAACGTTATGAAAATATCTTTATATATATAATTCTTCTGTGAGTGTGTATGTCACTGAACTTCTCTTAAACGACTGGACCGATTTTGATGAATTTTTTTGTGTGTGTTCAAGGGGATCTGAGAATGGTTTAGATTCACAATTTTGTCCGCTGGACAACCCCTATTTTTTTAGGGCGGTACGAAGTTCGCTGGGTCAGCTAGTAAATTTATAAATCTTGAATAAAATATTTTGACAATGAAATGAAATGAAATGAAATGAAAAAAACTTTATTGGCCATCTTACATAATAAAAATACTTACTATAAATATAAACAAAAAATAAAAGAAGAACTTAACCTAAAAACAAAAAATAACAACATAAAACTAAGACGGCTAATCAGGACCCTGCCTCAGCTTATGCTGACACAGTGGGAGAATACTCTCTCACTGTATCAGCGCTGGTATTCTGGCAGGGCCTGTGCGAGGACGTATTAGGCGCTAACAAGTAACAAAACAATACATTTATGCTTAACTAATCATATTGTATTGCGCATACACACATACATACACACACACACGCTGATATAAATATATATATTCACAACATTTATATATATATATACACATTAAATACATATAATGACATAATCCTAAATAAATAAATAAAGAAACGCAGCGCAGCACTCCGAACGCACCCGCACCGCATCCGATAATGGTGCCGACTCCGTCATGACTCTCCAAACCCAAGACCAAACCCAACACCAGTCCCTCCCTATCATTTTGTACAGAGAATGACAAGGATACACTGCCGTCAATTCCATATTCAGACTCAGAGAATCATTTCAGAATCGACACCAATGTCAATATACGTAGTATCTGAAATACTACGTACGAGTACGAGTATTGTAGTCTGTGCAATATGGTACCCACCCAATCTATACATTAAGATTGATAACCTGCAATCTGTGGTGTGTTTTGTACTTTGTACCTTTCATTTTATGAAGTGGATGGATGGATGCCACGTACCCATTGTCACGTTGGTTCGTAATAAGAGCGTCTCCGAGGAATCGTACAAGACGGCCCAAAATTAAACCGCAAGCCACACCGTGCCGGATACCTATTTCCTAAACTTTGCATGCACGACGTGAAAGAACCGCTGGTAAGTTTAATTGATCCTGCTACTGCTGTTGAGTTTTGAAAAGATGTTTTTTTAGGTGGTTTTTAAATGTGCCAATTGTTTTCAGGTCACGCAGAGGCGGAGGGAGATCATTCCAGCACCGTGTGGCGGCGAACTTGAAGGATCCACGAAACGCTCTTGTGTTATGCACCGGTATCTTAAAAATCGGCCTGCAAGCTCTTATCTTAAAGGCACTGTGATCTTGGGCCCAGGTAAGTTTCTTGTATAGGTAAATTGGTTTACCGGATTTTATGACACCAAATAGCAGATTATATAGATGAAACTTTCTACGTGCCTCCATTTTCAGTGAATTCGAGTTATTGAGAAATGAAGTTTTGGCTTTGATCTTCAATATTTCCATAACCATAAATTTTCCAGGTATGGTTCAGATGAAAAAAAAAGATCGTCATGATGTGGAAAATACGTGGCCTTCGACTTCGTTATAGGTTTTTTACACCCTGTAGTTCATAGTACGGAACCTTCCATGCGAGAGTCTGACTCAATACGTATCTTGGTAAACAAACAAACGGACACCAAAGTGATCTTATAAGGTTTTATTTTTTTCTGATTTTGAGGTAGGGAACCCTAAAAACGTACCAATTACTATGTTTGCATCGTTAGCCGGCAAAATTAATAGCTTATTAGCGGTATAGTTCGTATGTAAATAAAAAGGTGTTCCTCACTGAAGTTGTGGTCAGTTTGTGCTGCCTAAAGAAATACCCAAAAATTCGCAAACAAATCTATACTATAACTAGCTGTCCCAGAGAACTTCGAACCGCCAAAAAAAATAGAGGTTGTTGGTATAAAGGTGAAAATTTAGTGTTGTATGTATTTTTGTATGATGTATCACAAAAAAAAAACAATTCCAAAAAAGAATTAATGGTGTTCCACCCTTGACATTTAGGGGGATGAAAAATAGATATCGTCCGATTCTAAGACCTACTGAATATGCATATAAAATTTTACGAAAATCGGTCGAGCCGTTTCGGAGTACTTCAATTACGCACACCGTGACACGAGAATTTTATATATTAGATAGAATTTTATTATAAAGCTGTAGAATATGTTTATTTGATTGTTTGGTTGAACGCGCTAATCTCAGGAGCTACCGATTCAAATTGAAAAATATTTTTGTGATAGATAGCCCATTTATATAGGAAAGTTATGGACATAACATCATGATAAGACTAAAAGGTAGGAGAAAGAAGTCACTTATTACAGAATTGCGACGTCAGGTAGGGTTTTTAAAAACTATACTTTTAATTATAAATTTATTTAAAAAAATATTTTACAGAAAACTATTAATATATTAATTGATCACGATGATCAGCTCTTTAAACTATACGCCCAGATGCTTCCACGATTGATGCACAAGAGACTCAAACCTGTCCGGAGGTTTTACATGAACTAAATCTGTCTAATAACTCCTTTTCAACTCGATTGATCAATCGAGCCGCCTGCAGTTGAGCAACACATAGAGTGGGTGTATTCCGTAATATATACCAGTATACTGGCCAGTGCTAATGACGTCATGAATCGACGCTATACTGGTGAATTGTTCCGAAATATATTGGCCAGTGCACCGACGTCATAAATCGACGAAAATTTTAAAAAGAGTGCGAATAAAGAAGATTTTTTGTTCACCTCACCAATTAAAAGGAATTCTTTTTTTTTCGGATGCCTTTATTATTCTTTAATTAATAAAGAAATAAAATTCGAATGCATCTCACGCACGCTCGGTCATACGTCATATTCGTTTTCCCAGTAAAAATATGGTAGCATACCAGTACAAGATGGCGTCGGATTCGTGACGTCATTACCACTGGCCAGTATACTGATGTATATTTCGGAATACACCCATAATGTACGCGTGACGTATTAGTGACGTA